AGGTAGTTCTAATGCCTTTTCTTCCACCAGAAAGTCATCTGGTGTTTTCTTTTGGACGCCTACTGGAACCATCTTGTCCTGTTTTTGTAAATGTTTTGATATTGTCTGCTGTCTTCGGGGCATTCAGTAGTTATTTTTCTCATTCATTAATTGTAGATTTGTTTGTTTCGTCCTTTTTTTTTTTTTTTTTAATTTGGCTATGTCTGAGCAGGCAGGCTGTGTGTTCTTTGTTGTTTGCTCATCTGTGGGCATGATACTTTTCACCTCCTTTTCCAACTGGCAGGGTCAGTCGCTCAGATATGGTACACCAGGGCAGGTCTAGCTGAAGAGGAGTTACTGGGACGGGTTGTTTGTGGCACTTACTACAGCCACCAGGGCGGGTCGGTAATCAGTGGAAGGCAGGTTCCAGTAGGCCGTGCCTGTGCTGCTTGGCGGTGTGATCTTAAGCGCATGGTGCAGGTAGGCAGGATGTAGGGAGGATATTGTTATGTGTGGAGCTAAGATGGATATAGGAGAGAGGAGAGAGAAGCAGGAGCCAAAAACATACAAACAAACAAAAAAGAGTGCTAGGGGAGCTTGCCATTGGAGTGGAGAGATGAGAGACTACAAAATGGAGAAAAAGAAAAAGGGAAAGAAGAAGAGGGGAAAAAAAGAAAGGAATGAATAAATAAAAATCAGAAAGGAAAAAGAACAGTAAAGCTACCAGGGATCCCACTGGTGCAGCTATCAGGTCTGAGGAAGTTGTTCTCAGGTGTTGCAGTACAGGCTGGCTAGAAGGCATAGAGGTATTCAGCGCCAGGTATTCAGGGAACACAAAGCAAAGGAAGGTATAGAGAGACAAGAAACTGAGCAATGAAGAAAGACAAAAAGGGAACAAGAGGGAAAAACAAAACAAATTAAAAAAAAAAAAAAGAACAAGAAAAGCCCCCAAAAAAGCAGGAAAAAAAAATAACCGCGAAAAAAGAAATGCGCTCAGGGATCCCTCTGCGCGTCTGCGCAAGCCGAGGGGATAAGTTCCAAGCCGCGCAGCACCGCCCGGTCAGAACGGGCTTCCAACTCAAGAAAAGGAAAAGAAAACAAACAATTCAAAACAAACAAACAAAAGCTCCGGGATCCCACCAGCGTGGCAGCCCAGACCAGGAAGCAGTTCCACACTCGAATGGAGCTCCGCAGCCCCTCAGAA